AGCATCCCATATGGGCACTGGTTCTAGTCCCGGCTGCTCCACATCAGATCCAGCTCTCTGCTGTGGCCTGGGAAAGCAGAAGAGGATGGCCCAAATCCTTGGGCCCCTGCACCCGCATGGGAGACATGAAGAAGCTCCTGGCTTCAGATCAGCTCAGCTCTGGCCATTGTGGTCATTTGGGGAGTGAACCATCAGATGGAAGACCTCTCTCTCTTTCTGGCTCTCTATAATCTCAAATAAAATTAATCTTTAAAAAATAAATAGGAAAATTCACAGTGCCTAACACCTAGTTAAAACTCAACAAAATGACCATCACTATTCTTAAAACTATTTAAATGATTTGTGCTCAGTTTTCAGCAAACGTTCAATTATATTAACTTTCAACCCTTTCATTAACATAAAAATCACATTCAAGTATACTATCATACAACATCTCACTATGCATACAAAGTAAGCCAAGGAGTTAATATTTTTGTCTTACCTATGAAGAAAAGCAATATTCAGATACATATATATATTCTCAATCTCCTATATATATTGCTACATATCTGATATACATCATCTATATGTATATTCATATATGTATATATGATATATAACATACAGTATATATAACATACAATGATTGTGTGTATATATATATTCTCAATATCCAATCTGCTACCCAGGGCAAAGAGTGAGTCAGTGTCCTAGGTAAGACTAAACCTCACCCTCAAATGTTATTCACATGGAAAACATCATGTCACACGAGTCCATCTAAAAATGGTATGGCAGTCCTATAATTTGTACTCTGTTGTGTACCTTTCCTAATTATGGTTATTTTCATAAGAAACTTGTAAAATAACAAATCAAGAGCCTTGTTAATGAGAATGCAGATTTGAAAGATCTTCTGGAATGGCTCAATCAGATTACATTGTTTCCTTGCTTCCACATCTTCCTCCAACTTCTTGCTGTCAGAATAGTCATCCTCCTCATCATGGTTTTCAAATCTCACCATGGTTCGAGTCGTGCCTCCCTCTCCTACTACTCTCTCTCTCTCTCTCATTATACTCAGGTTGCACTGGCCTCCTGTTATGTTCTCCAAGCTCATTGCCTCAGGCCTTTGCATTTACTGTATACCCCAGCGAGTTCTCCTTCCCTAGCTTTTCCTCATCTAGGTATCTTCTCGTTATTTGAATCTTTTTCTACTCGGGGTGATACTGGCTCCCTACCCATGCTCCCATGCTCTGCTTTATAGACCTCATTTGCCCTAATATCTTCACACCACTCATCACCTTATGAAATTTCAATTTGCTTTTTGGACCCTTCCTCTAGCGAATGTTCTGAGAACAGAAAGAAATCTTGTTCTCTTGTTCACTGCTCTAGAAGAGTGCCTAGAACACAGGAGGTATTCATAAAATAGCGGCTCAAGGATGAATGAGTAAGCTGCTTTTATCATCACTAAAGCAAGACGAGAAATCATTTTGTGCCTGTACAGTCTAGACAGACTAGTCTTAAAATTAAAACCAATGCAGTCTCTAAACTTACAAGAATAAGTGACCCAACTCTAAAAATTATTCTTACATCTTTGAGAACAAAGGACTCTTGTTTTTATTTATCTCCAAGGAGAGCTGAGTCTTTTGGCAAAGAGGACTGTTTGGAGATACTCCCTCCATTTGAACCCAGGGGTCACACATGCTTCTTCTCTGACTTGGATCTCAGCCCCCTGCTCTGGTTTCAATCTGGAGATTTTATCTGACAGCCTGCAGTCACTGCTCATGGAAGACTTGCTCTGCTGCCAGAGAGTAAACTAAGAGCACCACGCACAGAATGACAACGTTCAGCAAGAAGGGAAGGAGGGACCTTCAAAGTACTGTAACCTCTGGGATTAATTTTAAGATTACCTCAGAATTTCATTTCCAATGTCATAGGGTCTAGACCACTTTAATGTTAAAAAAATATTTGGGGGGCCGGCGCCGTGGCTCACTAGGCTAATCCTCCACCTTGTGGAGCCGGCATACTGGGTTCTAGTCCCGGTCGGGGCACCGGATTCTGTCCCAGTTGCCCCTCTTCCAGGCCAGCTCTCTGCTGTGGCCCAGGAGTGCAGTGGAGAATGGCCCAAGTACTTGGGCCCTGCACCCCATGGGAGACCAGGATAAGTACCTGGCTCCTGCCATCGGATCAGCACGGTGCGCCAGCCGCAGGGCACAGGCCACGGCGGCCATTGGAGGGTGAACCAACGGCAAAAGGAAGACCTTTCTGTCTCTCTCTCTCCCACTGTCCACTCTGCCTGTCAAAAAAAAAAAATTGGGAAACCACAGTTATCCATGGAAAATACATTTTTCCAAGTAGGTGTTAGCCTTTTGTACTTCCCTGAATTTTTCTTTTAATGTGAAAAAATCAACAACCAGAAGCTTGCCTGTATTGTAGCAGAGTGATTTTGTAGAAGGCACCAACACAGAATCCTTATTGCCTCATTGCAAGCCAAGTTGAATAACAAAGTTGGAAAGGACCCCACCAAACGTATGCCATAGGGGTCCTGGCCACCACATCAGCAAGCACCACCAGTCACTGCTGGGACGTCATCTCCTTCCAGGATCTCTGGTAGTCAATGTGCATGGAAAGGGAATGCCAGCATAGACACCACCTCTCCCAACAATTTTCCATCTTCTTCTTCCTTATTTTTAAACAATTTCCCCTTTATCAGATGCGACAGAAAGTTACATAAAGTAATGTTTGGATTGGATATACTCAATCGTGTTGCATCTAATAGCAGTATATTGATGACCAAAAAGGCTATTCCAAAAGCTTAGAACGTAGATTCAGTCCCCACTCAGCTTTAAAAATCAGATGGAAATTCACAACACAAAGACAATCATGGCAAAGTGCCCCACTGGTTCTCAGGTTGCCTCAGCTTATGTTCCCCATGATCATCTCTTTAGCTTTCAGGCCAGTTATTGCTTTCCATCTGTAAGTTAGCTCTTTGTCTCCCAAGGCTCCTTCTGCAACAGCTAAACCATCACCATCCATGGATTTCCATCTGGTCCCATCATCACAGAACAGAGTTAGCTATATATAGAATAGGTGCATTTGGCAAAAAGCACTGGATAAAAGGCAAAGGGACAAGTGTGCACTAAAAAATGTACAACCCTGAATCTCAGCTGTGGGTAAACTGCTAATTATCAAAATGGGATTTAACAGAGATAGGAAGAAAGCTGTATGAAGGCACTTTACAGTAATTAATTGAGCCTCTCTTGGTTCTAAATTGAGAGAAATACAAAAATCAATATTTTTAAATGTGTCATACTTATTGACACTAATGAAATCTCCTGAATAAGCATTTAATGCAACTCCACTGCTACTTTAAATTTGTGTTCCTCACTGAGTGAGCATTACAAGGTCAGGTCAGTTCCCCTGGGCTTCACAAAGCTGATGCTATCAGATAGACAGGACTTCGTTCTTGCCGTATATGGAACAACCCTTTAGAGGATTGCTGAGCTGTCCATGGTGCTGGAAAAGCAGCTGTTGCACCCCTTTCCTCTTTGGTTCAGCAGGAGACACACATCCAGCAAAGCTATGTTATCTCACGTAGCAGTGACCCCATGTTTATTTGAAAGAGAAAATGTATAGCATCTCCTAATTCTGTTTTTCTAGCAAGCATTTGTTTGATCACACTGCACTAATTTACTCCCTTATCCCTCGCGTATTAATAACCACACAGAAGTATACTAATTTTCATTCACTTGCATTTTTCTTTGGAATGTAAATGTTCTATTTTTTCCAAATATACTATAAATTTAAGGCATTTGGAAATACTTATGGATTGGCTGGAATAATCACATCCAAATTTAAGCTCCCTTACTTACTAGTTAATAAGAAGGAAACATGTTCAGTAAAGTTGCTTTTTGTGCTTCAGTTCTTCAAGTGTAGAGAGATGATTAACAGCCATGAACTAACTTTTTTAGGGTATAGTAAATTTAATGGTATATTTCAAAATATTTTTTACAAACTATGACATGTTATCAAATTTCAAGCTCTACATGTTAGGTTTTTTGACGTTGTTGGTGTCAAATGAAGTAGAATGGATACTCCCGACAGTATTCACAGCAAACTTCTGGCTGTCTCCTTCAATCAGAACAAACCTACAGGAATTATGAACCATTCTCACACCAGGAAAATGTTAGCAGTAATGGATATAAGATTCACTTAAGGTAGAGAAATCTGAAAACCACAAAATATAGATCCCGTTAAGTCATCCAAAGATTAACACCCAGAGTTGCAGCCGTCTCACAAGGCTCCCCACTATTCCCACCTTCTCAGTACTTGATACTCACTGGAAAAGTACTGCAGTCAGCATGCTAAGGATGCAGAAGTTATACAATTCACATGGAATGCCTGAACTTTAAAAATAAAGTAACTCATGTGAGAGTGATTAAAGAAGATGCCCAATACAACCAAAATTTGAAGTTACCTTATTCTGAATTCAAATTACATTCTTTTAATCATCAGGCCCACAGTCCACCATACCTAAATGGGTGCTGTGGACATGGGTCAACTGAGAAGCTGGCCAGCTTGAATATAACATGTTGGAGGTCATACTGAGAAGAAGTTCTTTTAGGGACAGAGAGAAACAGACATTTGTTTTGTGAAAGCAAACCTAGTATAATCCCCTAGGTTCTGTGATATAACAAACCAGAGATGGAACACATCCCTGAACTTCTAGTATACTGACTTACCAATTTAACATTCAGTATTTCTGAGTGCACTAGAAATTATTTCCTCACAGTGCAAATGGATTCAAGTAAGATGTATTTTATATGCTTTTAAGTTCTAATACTTATTAGCAACCCCAGTGATCATATAATTTTTAGGTTTGTTGTTCAATCCCTTCCATTCTTAAAGATCCAGTTGAGGGGCTGACTTTATGGCACAGCAGATTAAGCGGCTGCTTGCAATGCTGGCATCCCATATCAGAGTGCTGGCTGGAGTCTCAGTTGCTCTGTTTCCAACCCAGCTCCTACCTAAAGCTCTTGGGAAGGCATCAAAGAATGGCCCAGGTACTTGGGTCCCTGCCATCCATGTGGGCTCCTGACTTCAGCCCAAAAAATCCCCATTGATTGCAGCCATTAGGGGAGTGAACCAATGGATGGAGTATCTTCTGTCACTGCACAAATGAATAAAGAAATATCCAGTTGAAACCCCTCTTCTCCATGAACATTCTGAGATAGTATCAATTCACAGTAAGTAAATCTTACTCTATATTCATATATACCATGAAGTTGGCAACAGAATCACCTACCACCCTGGGCTATCTGCTTTCTTACATTGCTATTTAATATGTATTTCTACCTTCTTTCTTCAATTTTACTGGAGCATTACTTCATAGTATGTGCTAATTACTAAGGTGTACTGCACTTGATGAGAACTGCTTGTTAAATTTCTGCTTCCTCCCAACCTCTTCTCCCACTAAATCCATGTTTTTTCTGCCATACTCACTGTTATATCATTGGTGCCAAGTACGTCATAAGGCTGTAATTATACATAATTGCAATATCTATAGCAATCAATAAATGAGCCAGCTTAAATGACAGGGATTATTGCCCTGCATTGTAAATCCACACTCCCAATCTCTCCACAAAAGCTATCAGTAGAAAATATCAAATATCTAGGCCAAGAGAATAAACTACATTCCTAAATGAATTTACTGTTTTGGGCCTGAGAATCATTTTCCAAGTACCACATGGAAACCGAAGTTTGAAAATTCTGACCCCAGGTCAAACAAAAACTACCATGGATTGTACATTACAGTTTGAAATGTTTAAATGTCAAAGGGAAAGTGCACACAGATTACATCAGTTAATTATACTCAAATGTCTTCTATGAAGAAAAGACTGAGGCATCATTTTTCTGCACAGAGCAGAGAAGAAATTTACAATAGCCCTTTCCAGCTTGCAAGCTGCCTTAACTGTAATATACATGTCTACTGTGGTAGATGCTGGGGATAGAGAAGTGAACGAAGCACAGGATGGCCTTGCCTTCACAGAATCCACATTCTAACAAGATAGGAAAACAAAGAAAATTCTCCCATTCATCTATACAATAAGTACTGCTAAAGACTCAATTCCACACATAGCATTGGATTTTCAGTTTCCTGGCTTTGCTGCATCTCTGATATTATTTGAGTATAAAACAGATGACACGAGTAGTTAATCTGATTTCATAAATCCTATTTAATTCTCTTGATAAATACTGGGGAAGAAAGGGATCATGGGGAAAGAGGGCGCAGAAATAGACTTTAATCCCTTTTTCCATCTTCTCGCTACACCCTTAAATAGAAACACTAAGACAGTTCCTTGAGAGGGAGCAATCTCAGCCTCATTCAGGGGAAAAGAATTGGGAGTGTCCACAGTCGATGTGAAGTACATACATGTGTGTCCATCTAATAAGCAAGGACACTTTCTTTCCTGGCAGCTGTCCTGGCTCCCAAGATGGTCACGGCCCATGGAAGTGAAGAAGCAACCCTTTCCTGCATGGATTCTGCAATTCACCAAGTACACTAATTCGAAGGCTCCCCCTGCCTTGAATTTTCATTGTTGCGATGGAGTTTATATTCTGCTCTCAGATATTTTTATTGTTTCCTATTGAAAGACATTTTCTTGCCATTTTACATACAGTTTTAGATTTAGATTCACATTCACTTGCCATCATCAAGGAGAAACTTTCGTATCAATGGTCCAATCAGAGGATGGGATCTACCATCAAAGGCTGGGGTATTGCTTTAAAGATGTTCTTTATTTATAGACAGCTTAATTGTATTAAGTGCCAAAGAATGCAGTGCTTTCTTTGTAATGAGTCTTGATGGTCTTAGTCTTCAGAAGCTCAGATTCCATCTGTGACAGCAGACTGTTGTAGAACTCTGCTATTAATAGCTGCTGGTACACACTTACTCAGAGCTGACAGGCCCAGGGCTGTAGAGACAGCCAGATGGGGAGAATACCAGAGGGTGGCTGCACGGACAAACAGGATGATCTATTTTTTTTTTTTTCCAACACAAAAACAGACAACACTAAAAACGTGACGATCCTGTTATATTGCAAGCCAAACTCTCTGAAGAGTCCCCACCCTGCACCCACCCTTTTGAATTTTCAGGTCTGATTCTAAATCACATGATTTATCATTATTTCTTATGTCCCAATCACTGCTTATGCTGGTTACAAATATACAAACATCCCAACGAGTTAACCCTGCTTTAGGAAAATGGTATGTCTTCATAGAGGAAAGCAGAAATAAAATTATTTTTCCAAGAGAAAAAAACTGATATTGGACAGTCTTATGGATCAGAAATATTTTCCTTAACAGAGAAAAAAGACAATAAATGAACTGCATAACAGACATTTATTTATAGAAAAAATATGTATTTTTTAAAAAATCCTGTTTAATACGATTGAATGTGACTATGGTCTTAGTTCATCTTTGAGCTACAGAGAGTAGGAATAATACACAGCTAGACAAAAATGACATAGCTACCCTACTTAACATCATTTTCTGTTAATGATTTTTTGAGGGCAGTCTTCTAAACACCAACCTTTTTTTAATTTGTAATATCCTTCTAGATAAATAGGGGAATGTCTACTTTTGTTATGTGATTCATTACTCAATAAATGGCTAAATGATATTTTGGTGGGGATACATTGGTAAGTCACAAAAAAAATTAGTTTTAGGCTGTTTAAACACAAATGTTACGGGCAGTTATTTGGTGCCACAGCTTCGATCCCACTTAGGACATTCACATCCCACAGTGGAATGCTTGGATTCAAGTCCTGGTTCCACATTCGATTCTAGCTTCACACTAATGCTCACCCCGGGAGGCAGCAGGTGAGAGGTCAAGTGCTTGAGTTCCTGTTACCTGGATGGAGTTCCAGTCTTCTGGTTTCAGCCTTACTTGGGGAGTGAACCAGTGAAACCAAGATATCTCTCTCTCTCTCTCTCTCTCTCTCTCTCTGTCACTGTCTTTCAAATAAATAAGCAAAATTTTAAAAGCCAGATATTTAATGAAAATGCATGGGTGCAACAGAAAACAAAAACCAGGGAAGGGGTCAGCATACTTTGTTGTTTGGTCTTCAACATGCACAGAATCCATGTGGAACCAAGCACAGCTAACGGCAGGAGGTATGGGGAAGTAAGGCAGGACTGGGATGCAAACACTCTGCTCTCATACTTTAAGGAACTTCTCAGAAAACTGGGGGCCAGTGCCTTTAGAACCTATGATTTCTTTCACATAGATACTGTATGAAGGGTTCTAAGAATAAAACAAAATAGACCTACACAAAAGAGCAAAGGTGGCAGGTTCATATAAATGAGTAAGGAATCCAGAATGCCTCCAACTATTACCAGAACCCAGAGTGCACCCTGTAAGTGTCCATTTGTTCATGTAATTACCCTTACTTTTTAAAAAAAATCCTAAAATTATAATTTTTTAAATATTTATTTGAAAGGCAGGGTGACACAGGAGGAGAGAGAGGGATAGAGATCTTCCGTTCACTGGTTTGCTGCCTCAGTAGCTCCAGCAGCCAGATCTGAGCCAAGCTGAAGCCAAGAGCGTTAAACTCCATTTTAGTCTCCCACATGGGTAGCAGGGGCCCAAGCACTTTAGCCATTACCCACTGCCTCCAAAGCTACACTAGCAGGAAGCAGGATTGGAAGTGGAGGAGCTGAGAGTAGAACAGGTATTTGAATATGGCAGACAGGCATCCCAAGTAGTGGTTTAACCTGCCGATCCACAATGCCTGCCCATATGCCATATTTTTTTTTTTTTTTACAGGCAGAGTGGATAGTGAGAGAGACAGACAGAGAGAAAGGTCTTCCTTTTTTTGCCGTTGGTTCACCCTCCAATGGCCGCCACGGCTGGCGCGCTGCAGCCGGCGCACCGCACTGATCCGATGGCAGGAGCCAGGTGCTTCTCCTGGTCTCCCATGGGGTGCAGGGCCCAAGCACTTGGGCCATCCTCCACTGCCTTCCCGGGCCACAGCAGAGAGCTGGCCTGGAAGAGGGGCAACCGGGACAGAATCCGGCGCCCCGACCGGGACTACAACCTGGTGTGCCGGTGCTGCTAGGTGGAGGATTAGCCTATTGAACCGCAGCGCCGGCCCATATGCCATATTTTTAACACACTATCTGACATGGGCTGACTTCTACATAAAAATGAGCTATTATTATATCATCATCATCATATCCACTAAGATCTACGTGACATTTACATGTAATTATGTATGTAAAGTTCAACCACAATCCTGAACTCTAACAAGTATTATCGCACTCTTGGTTAACCAGGCTGCTTGAACAGTACAATGAACCAATCCTACCTTTTGTACAAGCATGTCAGCTTTAATATTTATTGGTCACCAAGTTCAATAAGGTACTTGGTACCATATGATCCTTTGACTAAGCCATTGAGGTATATGTATCATATGACCCCTGCAAATTAGTTAGGGGGGCGATCTCGGCCTCATTTTCAGGCTTTAGTTAAAATCAGAGAGCCCATAACTTAGGAACTTTCCAGATACTTCCAGCAGACACTCCCCCAGGCAGCTTCCACTTCATATTTGGTTTCTTGCATCCTCATTTCTGAAGTTCTCAAAATTCATTGATCACTTCAAAATGTATTCAATGCCCATCTATCAAGCTCTTATCTAATCAAACACTTTACACGTGTGTGTGGTACTCTGAGAGAGCACAGTTTACAAGAGGGCTTTTTATACACTCCTAAGCAACAGGAAGATGTTACTGTGCATCTGTGGCATGGAAATCTGCCACACTAAGAACTTTATCGCCATCTTTAAACCTTTCACTAATTACAACGAAGTACTCGCAAGGATCTAATTGAGCCAAGTTGTTAGGCTGCCTTGAAACAAAACCTATGTGTACGTCGTCCCAATGCCCCCAGCCTGTTTGAACACTGGCAATGGCCGCCTGCTAAGCCTTGGCCTTCAGTGTGACAAGGCCATGTCTAACCACGGGGCATTCAGTGCCTATGCAATCTTGACACATCACCTACTGTGGGAATGACAGGTTCACACAATTTCTCCATCCTCTGAGGAGTTTTCTTATTGAGCTTTGGTGAATGGGAAGGAATAAGATGGGCCACAGTGTGCTCCATCAGGGGGACTTGTCTGTCGGTCTCTCTCCTTCCCCCTCACTCCCTGTCCTCCCGCCCCATGCCTAGCTGCACAGATGACAACTTCAAACATTTATTAATATTGATCCATTCTCTTGTCCTCTACCAATCAATACTTGATGCCCGAAGAACCCAATAATATTCACTGCACAGAACTGTGTTTATTTCCACATAATACTGCAGGGAAATTAGAAATCACTCATTATATGAATCAGTTTCTCTCTTTGCAATTAAATCGGTTTCTGCTGCTTCCATGCATCCTAGGCTTTTAGCTAATACAGCTCTAAAACATCTCTGACAAAATGCTCTTATTACCTCCCAAATTACATTCATCTATTGTCTGATGATTTCCTTGGAAAAACAATTGTATGATATTTTGAATTTGAAAGGATACATGTTATCCATGCTAAATGACTGTACTAGGCTAGGTCCTAGGTGCTTCACCGACATAATCTGTTTCATTCTCATCATATCATATAGAAAAGTCTCATTCCATTTTTATGCCGATGAGAACACCAATAATTTCATAGACTACGTCACTCAACTAAGGTTACAATAGTCAGTGACCAAACTGGAACTTAGAATTGTTCTAGCAGGGCTGGTATTGCGGTGTAGCAAATTAAGCTTCTGCCTGCAGCGCCAGTATCCCACATGGGCACTGGTTCGAGTTGAGGCTGCTCCACTTCTGATCCAGCTCTCTGCTATGGCCTGGGAAAGCAGTGGAAGATGGCCCAAGTCCTAGGGACCCTGCACGTGGGAGACCCGGAAGAAGCTCCTGGCTTCAGCCTGGCCGAACTGCAGCTGCTGCAGCCATCTGGGGAGTGAACCAGCAAAGGGAAGAGCTCAGTCTCTCCTTCTCTCCCCTTCCCTTCCTTTCCCTTTCCCTCTTTCTCTCTCCCACTTTCAAAAAGTAAAATACATCTTCTTTTTAAGAAGAATTGTTTTACCTAGGGATGGACATCTGACTCAAGTTAAAACATGCCCACATCCCGTATCAGAGTGCCTAGGTTTAAGTTCCAGATCTGCCTCCAATTCCAGCTTCCCGGTATGCATTCCCTGGAAGGTAGTAGTGATGCCTAAGTACCTGGGTCCCTGTCACTCAAATGGGACAGCAGATTGAGCTCCCAGCTCCTGGCTTTGGCCTGGCCTAGCCCAGGCTGTTGGAGGCATTTGGGGAGTGAACCAGCAGATGCAAGAGCGGTCTGTCTCACTAATTGTCCACCTTACACATCAGTGAAAATACATTTAGAGATTTTTAAATAGAATTGCTTTATCTGAATCAAGAGCCCCAAGTCCTAACCACTGCCTTTCTTGGTGAACTGAATTATTTAAAGTCATTTTTGTTTTGGCTTAGCTACAAATATTTCATCTGCTTTAATGTACTGACATCTTTATTATTCAGGCACCATTTCAAGACTCAGACTTCTAACTGGTGCCCCAAGTAATATGGACTGCATTATCCATATAAAAAAGGTGTCTGATGTTGCATTTTTCAAAATGGTCTAAGTCTGCGGATTGTGTTGTAAATTGCATTTCAGGAAAAAAAAGATTCTCTGAAAAATTTAAGGGTCTATTTCCTAGCTGACCTATAAAAATAATTCTATTGACTAGCATACTATTTTTTTATCGTATTTGGAAAACAATTAAAATGTTCCTTCAAAAAATTATGAAGAAGCACACCGAGTTGTGGAACACGGTGATGCTGGATCAGCAATCTGAGGAAGTGATGCGATTCCCAATCTACCAGTTTCTGAGACCACGCAGAGCCTACGGGCAGGCCTGGGCCACGCCCTCAAGGTGCAGCGAGTTCTAATGAGTGCATTCCTCTTTGGTTTGTTGACTGTCCACACTGAACCTGAGGTAGAATGGCCATTG